ACGCCTGATCCTGTATTGACTCTCAACATCAGCTTTTGTTGTGTTCACCGACCAGAGCCGAACACATGAAAGGAGATAAGCTGCTCCCAAGCAATTGTCCAGGTGCCAGTTTCTTCGATTCAAACCTTGGAAACCACAATGCTTTGCTAGTATCAAGGCCCTGTTTTGTTTCCTGAAATGGAGTGAATTTCTTCTATTTGCTTGAGCCCTCTAAACAAACTAAACCACTTGTTAAGTAGTGATAGAGTCTCTGTAAAACCAACAAGGGACAATACAACATATTCATTTCAGCAAAATTCAGCAAATGGAAGACTGGGAGAGCACCTCTGAATCCTTTTGACATCTTTCCGAAGCGGCTGTGGTTGTCAAAAATAGGGAAACATTGCCCAGAATGGCTTGCTGCAACGATCGGCAAATGGAAAGGACAACCTGCTTTCCATATCCTGAAGGTTTAGTGTTTCTCGGAAGGGCTTTTAAGGAAACCAAAAGGGCAACCGAAGCAACTTTGGGTGTCCGCTTCCTTAAAAACAGACACAGCCAAGTGAATAGGGGCAATAAATGCACCCAGCTCAGCTGACATGGAACACCCGTTAGGTTCATGGCAATGGGGGTAGCCCCCCAAAAGGTGTCCCTTTGGCTTTCCTTTAAAAGGGGCTCACGCAATTCATGAGCAACGGCCCATTGGGGTGGACATCTTTTTTGGGCCTCTTGCTGGTGCGATAGGTGGGGAATGAGAAATGGAGTGAACCCAGTGCCCGAAGAAAGGAAACCACCTGGAGTCTCCTTCTGACCCTTAAAAAATGGGTCAATGACCCCAACATTTTGGGTAATGACCCCATTTTTCACGGCTCATGCAGACTCCAGGCACCAGTTGGATGGTTCAAATCGGATCATTCCAATTCTCATTCCCCGCTGCAGCGAATGGCCTCTTTTAACCTTCCCCCTATGTGGCCATGGGTCAAAATCCCGTACCCCCAGTGAACATCCCAATCCCCACTAAAATAGGTTCTTTTTGGTTGGTGCACCTACCCCAAAATGGGATCCCAAAACGGTTTTGACTCACAGCCATATTTTTCAGGAGGGTGTGCAGTCCATGGTGGTCTTCCCCGCAAAGGAGAAGTGAACAACCAGCAAAGGAGTCTCAGGCGTTAGCCCTCCTCCAATTCCATGGTGTAAGGGAGTGGGCGAAATGTCCGAGGCGACCCAAAACCTCCATTTGTTGACTAGGTCCTCCAGTAGAGAGGTCAGACTAAGGGTACCTTTTTTTTCTTCTGTAGTCTATTTTAGTACGGGCCTACTGGACCTAGTTGAAGTCCCACGGCAAACTGCCCGTTTTCTGATCCCCTAAAAGTGACTCACTTTGAGAGGCCACAGGACCGGATGGCCGCTTCGCCCGGTGAAAAAAGCTCAGCAGTCCGGTGCTAGACATTTCCCTATGGAAGATGTGCAAGCTTCAGGATCGCAAGACCCTGCTTAAGGTTTGGGGCCTCTTTGGCCCTCATATGGCTGTGGGTCAAAAATAGGCACCCAAAATGGCTTGCCCTGGTAAATGGAAACATGGACCAAAACCTGCGTAACCCCTGGTGGTTTAATTTTGAGCCACACCCATATTGATCTTGGGGTTGGGAAGGAAATCTACTTAAAGGGGCGATCGATTCGGTACGTCAGGTAAGTGGTCAGTAAGCATGATTACAACCCATTTAGGAGATTTATAACCATGGCTTTGGGGGTTACAACCAGGCTTCCTGGACACTTACCAAGTACAATGCCCCTTTAAGCAAAAACGGCAACCAACAAAGATCCGCCACCTTTGATCCATTCTACGCATGCACGGATCCCGAGAGCCAATTTCTCGCGTCGGTAGGTCCAACCGTATGCTTTGCATGGTGGGGACTCCGAGTGAGCGTCCATGTGAGTTGTTGAGTTGAGGCTCTCCTTTTCAAGTTGGTTAAACAAGAGGAACACATACATAACACCACGATTGAGTCATATTCAAAACCTGGTACTAGAAGGGAGAACCCAAGACCATGTAAGGAAGCAAAAAGGGAGGCCGCACCTACTATGGTTGGGACTATCTGTGCTAACCTTCATCTATCCGGCTTTTTATTGTGGCAATTCTGAAGTCACCCCATTTCGACATATACCAATGTCGCGAGAATCCTCTTGGTGATTCCCAGTTGCTCAATCATTTCCTTTTTGTTTCTTCTTTTCTTTTCTTTCTTTTTTTTTTCCGGAAGGTGCCTTGGTACCTTTGGATACATATGGCCAGAAATAAGTGAAAGTATACATTACCTCACGAGGTGCCAAGGGTCCTTGCTTGGCCCTCCGGGATACACCGAAAATAACATTATCTCGCTAAGTTTCATATTTATTTAGTCTATCCCAAATGTACATGGGTTTGGAGGAGACCCCAGCTTAGCCATAAACGCCCTCAACTGCAACCCTTACGCAGATCTGGACACAGGTCAATCGTGTACGGAAAGCCGAGCGAAGCTGTAGAAACCAGTCGGTGCTTGACAAACATGTCTTGCACGTTGGATTCGCGTTGGACGAAACATGCGTTGAGAGTATCAAAATATATAAGTTGACGCCGAAGCAAATGACATGGGATGCAGTCAATGAGATGCCTGGAGTCTCCATGACCCTTTAAACATGGGTCCATGACCCCCAAGTTTTGGGTAATGACCTCATTTCTTAAGGGTCCTTAGGGAGACTCCAGGTACTGCTGACAGCGTAAGTGGGGGATATCCCAACTCTTGCCCCGAAGTGCTCGTTGGCGCCTCACATCTTGGTCCTCCAGAGAGGTTAGAAGAATTTGGTACCAACTTTTTTCTGTGGTCCATTTTAGTAGGGGAACCCTCCCAACCAAAAAGGGGGTGAGAAAGGGCACCCTGGGGGACCTAGACATGATTCATTTCGGCATTTGGATTTCGTTGCATGGCACATTCCCTTGGATCCCACCAAGTCATAATTGACATGATTGGACTTGAGCCCATGCGTGGAACAAGTATCAGAAGTGCAAAGGCGTTTTTCCAAATGTCCGAGGCCTCGGCCAAGAAAGCAGAGAAACAACTGAAGCTGATGTTGGAGAGGGAATTCAATACTTCCTTCTTTTTAAAGGGTTGCTGGAGATATTGTGGATGGACGAAATCCATTTCGCACCATTTTGAAACCACGGGGAACCATTGTTTTCTTGGTTATTTACAAGGGACTCATCAATCCAGGGTTTCCTAGGTGGTGCAGGATTTCGTCCATCCACAGTATGCTCAACATTTTGTCCAAACGTCGCTGGAAGAAAGCTGTTTGAGACCTTCGGAAAGGGCTGGGAGCTTGGGAAAGCACCCATAGCTCACTTGAGCCACAATCAAAACCAATTGAAATGGTCGTCATCCCAGAACCATGTAAAGAACTAAGGCGGATATCCGCAGCTAGTTACGGCAAGGGGATTGTCCCTTAATTACTGACCGGATCTACCCGAATCGGTTTTGAGCAAGTGGCTCACTTGCTGAGTTCCTGGACTTACTCTTTGGGAACCTGGTCCTAACTCCGGACGGAAGTTCTGTGAGTTGGAGACCCCGACGAAATAAACCGAATTCCAGTGGTTTAGCTACAATGGGGGCTACAATGGGGGCAATGAGTCTTAAGACCATTTTGATGGTAAATCAAAGTTTAGACGTGTTTTGGCCAATCCACTCAGGAAGTGAGTTTACACCTTGTTCCAACAACTATGGAAATGGACGATTGAAGGGTATTGAAAGACTAGTGTTTGAAGAGGTTCTTGTCCACTTCCACTATTGTTAAACCAACAGTGGAAATAACATATAGTTCTTAAGCAAATGGAAGTTTTGTCGCCGTGAGTCCTGGTTGCCTGGTTGCGTCTTGGATCTGGGAATCGATCTGGACGGCTCACGTCGCTCGAGTGCGCGGCACATTTCGCGCCGCGGAATTTCGCGCCAGCTTGGCTGGGGCACCAGGAATCGTGCCAGGGGAAGACCCCATGAGGAAAACGAAACGTGGGGTCTTCGGGCCCCTCCATATTTAGATTTGGCTTCCCTTGTGCCTTGGATTGGACGAATACGCATAGGGAATGCTCCCTACATGATCTCAAATGCCCCTCCGTGCCATGGTTTGCCCCTTGTAACGGAACATGTGTGGTGCCTGGCTCGTTCTTGGGGGGTACGGGGCGATAGGGGCAAAATGCCGCAGAGAAGCCCAAGGGCAACTCTAAAGAAAGGACAGCACCAGATGGCAATGGCACCAGAACTACGCTGAAACACACGCAGAGTTGCACATCAAGTTCTCCAAACAAAATGAAACGTGATTTAACGTGCCAAGCTGACGCCAATGTTATCTAATATAAGGGGCTGAAAACAATTGGTGTCACCAATGACGAACATTGATCTAAACTATTCCATAATTCCAATGATTGAAGGTCATAAGTAAAGGGGCGATCGATTCGGTACGTCAGGTAAGTGGTTCGTAAGCCTCGACTTCTAACCCAGCAAATCCCATGGTCCTAAGTCTCAGTTCTCTTTGTGGATTCGGAGTACCCTGGTAAACACCTGCGGATTCGGAGGCTGCTGCTTTCAAGTCAACCTGGCTGTGGTTGTCAAGAATAGGTACCCAAAATGGCTTGCCCTGGTAAATGGACACATGGGCTAAAACCTGTGATCCTCTGGTGGCTTAGTTCTAGGTTGCTGTTGACCCCTCTACAAACGGTTTAACGTTTTGCGAGTTTAGCGGAAAACCCAACTTGATTTCAACCAAAAAGTTAAAGTCTAAAGAGCCAACCCAGTAGCTATCAAGCTGAAGTGGCGAATTTGTGTTTGTGTCTTGGAACCCACAAAAAATATAATTTGACCCATACCCCCACCTTTTTTAATTTACTTGTTTATTGATCAATAATTTGACCCATTTTCACCTTGGTCGTGCCATGGGGACCGGCATGCTTTGAGCTCCGAGCCACCGCTCAAGTCGCAAAGCGGCGCCGCTTCTGCGGCTCAAAGGAGATCGATGTCGCTGGGGAGATTTCGCCTAGGGCCCGAAAAATCTCAAGAAATCGAAGCGGATCGAAGTGCCTGGAGTCTCCATGACCCTTTAAAAATGGGTCAATGACCCCAACATTTTGGGTAATGACCCCATTGTTCAAGGGTACTGGAGACTCCAGGTGTCCTTAATTGTCCATGTCGTCGGGAGTTTCTATCCACCTTAGGGCCCCAACCCCCTTCCCCCCAAAAAAAAACCTAACCTTCACGGGCAGCAGGGGTACTTGGATACGGGTCAGGTTCATCCTGAAAGGCCCTTTAGCAAGCGGCTAAGAAGAAGCTCGGGTCACCATGACGTATCCCACAATGCTCGCTGGCTGAGTGGATGGCACCAAAAAAAGTCTAAACTTTATATTTACCACTAAAATGGTCTTCCCAAAAAGTTTAAAGTTCATGAACTCAGGAAGTGAGACTCAACTTTCTGCAGTGGGCACAACACTCGGCTGCCCGAGTTTCGATCCCCTGAAAGGGAATAACTGTTATTGGGTTAAATGGAAACCCAACCACTGAACCAACTAAACAGCTAAAAAAAGCTAAGGAACCGGATGGCTGGGAGCCACCAAGAACACGGTTGGTAAAACCAAACCGCCAAGCGGCATCTTATTGCTGCCGTTTCCTTGTCCCTGTAAGTAAGCCCGCAAGGCCACTGCTCTCTCACCAAATGGATTGTGACCGAGAATTTACAGCCAGGTGGTTAGTAGCCTCATCAACCTTCACTCTAGCCCGAGTCAGGATGCTAGTTTTGCCGGTGGATCTACAAAGACGATAACCGAGTGAACAAAGCAGCTAGGACCAAGTTACCAAGCTGTCATCAGCCGCTGCGCTGTCCAATCCGAATTTGTGGGATGAATTCGGAAACCCAACCACTAAACCCTACCTAAGAGCGACCAAAAAGCCTAAGTTGAACCCGACGATTCGGTGGGAACCAAGGCAAGTACCTTCCGACGCGTCCCGGGGGGGTTGGATTCAGCTGGTCCCGGAAACGGTTGAGGCCAACAGTGGCAGTCCTGCAATACTCATAAGGCTCAAAGACACGGTTCAAGTCGAGCTGGATGACAAGTAAAATAAGATGCACCCCAGTGGTCACCCCAGACCTAACATAGCTTGGAACCCCCCGACTAAACCAACACAGAAGCTAAACACTTTAGGAACCGGACGATTCGCTAGGAACCGCCAAGACATGGGGCTACTTCAGGAGTTAGCCCCCCCCCCCCCCCCGCGGCCAGTTCGCAGACATCTAAGATGCGTAACAAAAACGCCCAGGGTGGGTGGATTGAGCGCAAAGCCCCACTCCCAAACAAGGCGCCCAGAGAAGCGGCTGGATTTTTTCGGATTTCCTCGGTCGGGTTCCCGCGCGGCCGGGCTCGGACGTTCACGCCCTCCATGTGCGCGAACTTTCCGAAGGAGAGCAGCCCCGGCTGCAGGCCTAGCGATCCGAAGCCATTGGTCAGGGGTCAGGGATCCGGATGCGTGAGATACACCTGAACCCTCCGGGGGAGCTGGAAGCCGACAGATTTTTGTTGGCCCCATTGGGGGCAAATGAATTCCACCTCCAGAAGCGCATGCAAAAGGCACCCAGTTGCAACTTGTAAATGGCGGCTTCCAACTTGATTTGGGTGGTGAAAAAGCAACATGTTTCAAACTGGTTGCAAAATGAACTTCTTTTAAGGAGCCCTAGCCCTTGTCCTTATTTAGGCTTATCTTCCATTTGGTTGAGAACCCTGGAAAAAATGAAAGAAACTATGTCCAGTAGCGATAAATTCCTTGTAAAACCAACCACGGAAAATTCAAAATATTCTTAAGCAAATGGAAGTTATTTGGGCGCCCTCCCCTCCCCCCCCTTCCCCCCCCCGGCACCCCTGGGAAAAAAAAGAGCATCCATCCTTGGTTGGTTGAGTTTAAATGGAACCCTTGCCGAAACAAAAAATGCAAAAAAAAGGCGGAATCCACTGGGCAACTGGGGTTGGTACCCTGTTTGTGTTATGTGGGCCTTTTTCAAAGGGAAACCAACAGGAAAACCACACAAAATGGTGGGGCCCCCACAAAAAGACACACATGAGTCATGCTCAAACCAATTGAAACGGTCGATACCCAGAAACATGTGAAGAATTGAAAAGGCGGCGGCCCCCATCTATGCTTGGGACTGCTCCTTACTAGCTGCATCACCCGGGTTTTGATTGTGGCTCACGGTCATCATGCTGCTTCGTATTCAGCCTATCCTAAAACATGGATTAGCTTTCGCGACCCATAGTAACCCGGGTGGTTCCTTTGATTCCCTACCGATATATTTTGGGATGGAATGATTTTGGAGGAGACCCCAGATAGCATCATAGCTAGTAGGCAAGCCAACAAGTTGCTATTGGTTGTCAAGGGATCGTTCCCTTGATTCCCTACCGTACGGGTGAATGGAACCTCTCGGCGAGGTTCGTTGAGAGCCCTCCAAGGTCCTTAACTGTGTGACACCAATCCCCATATTTTGGGGGTCTGAACACTTTTCTTCGGGGAGGTGTTTTTTCGATGGCTGACCGAGGCCAAAAACTTGCCCAGGTTGCAATACTCAGTCGCCCAAAGGACGCAGACATATAAAGGTGATCACCTTTTGGGGCCTTTACGAAAGATAGACCAAAATTGGAAAACCAAAAGGTTGACGCTGACCCAGGATTAATAAACCGGTCCCACTATTGGGGGGGTGTTCCCTCCAAAAAATGATGAATCCCCACTAAAAGGGGACACCCCCCCATCAAACTCAACCAGGGGTTCTACTTAGATCCGGGGTTAACATTCAACGGTCGATTTGCTTTGGCAGCTGAGAGTACAGGAGTCCTTTGCTTTTGCTTGGGCTGGCTTACCTCCACCGCAAAAAAAAAAAAAAAAAAACGGTTTCTTGGGCTCCACTTGGGCCCCGAGCGCCCGCTCTTGTCCATGAGCCCCCGCATCCTGGAATGCGAATCGACGAAGTGCCCGGCTTTTTGTGCCTCAAACCGGCTTGGTGATTTGTTAGTCCTCTTGGGGTGGTTCCCAGCAAACAAAACATATTGCAAGTAAACCAACCAAACTCAACCAGAAAACTATGGCAAACCACCAAAATTGATTTTCTTCTCTTCTTTTTGGGGGGAGTCCTTCTTTCCCCACCTGCCAAACATGTTTTTGTTTTCCTGCTGCAAACTCGAAAATCGACGAGTCTCCTTCTTGCAATGGTCCGGGCTGCCCGTACGCCGAGTCGGTATGGAGGGAAAAATTAGGCCGGTAGGGCGAGACTCATCCCGGACTCATCCCTTGGCTAGGTCCTCCAGAGAGGATAGAATAACTCTATTTTAGTAGGGGAAGCCTCCCGCAAAAAATGGGCAAAGCGCACTACCTGGGAAACCTAGTACAACATCGTCTTGGAGGAGACCCGGACACATACACAAACACAAGCTCAAACACAACCACAGACACAGAGGCACAGAGGCACAGAGACACAGAGACACGGAGACACGCACAGGTCACGCATGTGTGAAGCCAAGCTAGTAAAGTTTACACCACGGTCTTTGCGTCTGGGCCGCCGGGCTTAACGGTGTTCTCGGCGGCCGCATTGATGTTGCCAAAGTTGGTGCCCACCATCCTGGGTTCCAAGCAATGCTTCATTGGGTGCCCACCATTCCCGGGATTGCTTGATTGGGTATGGGTAGATGAATCCCTCATGATCCAATGTTGCCATGGACCCTGATTTGAGCCATCAAATTTCGGGTAGATGAAGGGTCCTCTTGGGCCATTCTTTTACTGGCAGCCCGTTTGAACCCTTGAAGCTTCACTTTTGCGGGCATTCGCTGCCCAAAGGGTTGAAAGGGTTCCAGTCGCCCGGAATCTTCGCCAGGTGGCCCAGAAGGTGGCAAGCGGTCGCTTAAAGTGGGTGCAAAGCGACTTTTCGAGAAAACCATGCACCCACCTATCTGGGCTGCCCTGAGTTTAACTTTTAGCGGGTTAAATGGAAACTGCTACCACACACTAACAGGCTAAAAAGCTAAGGGGATTACTGGGAGCCACCAAGTTATGGTTAAAAGCGACCATAAAGGAAGCACTCACCATTGCTGTACTCACTTGGCCCACAACAAAAAGGGTACAACAACATGTTCTCAGATTCTGTTTCATATGTAGTCTACCCAAAAGCATGAAACAGTTTTGGAGCAAACCCCGGGTCTGAGCCAAGTATTTGGTTGATGCTTCACAAATACACAACCTTCCCGGTAAGTTATCTGGCAGGAACACTCCGATGCCTGGACAACCAAATGGCTGTGGGTAAAGATAGGTATCTAAAATGGAACCTTGGCAACTGCAACCAAGGACTAAAACCTGCGGTCCCCTGTGAACTTATTTTTGACCCACAACCAAATTGCACACTCCAGATGCTTGAACCCTCTGACTTGTACGGAGTTCTTCCCTCCAAATCCCTTTTGCTTTCACTGGTTGCAACTGAGAATTCTTACCTGCGTATGTGTCGAACAGCAAGCTTCTTGAGCAGCCTCCGACAACAATTGCTCTCAAGCAAGTCGGTGAACGGTGGGATGTGGGTGTGGCTCAAAATTAAACAGGACGGGTTACGCAGGTTTTGGTCCATGTTTCCACTTACCAGGGTTCCATTTTGGTACCGGTTTTTTGAGCCACAGCCATGCTACTTTGCGTCGGCTCCTGCTTCGAAAGCCTTCAATTTTCAATTCCTGTTTGGTTCCTCTGCGAGCATCTTGCTTCAGCAGTGGATGTCTCCGCATGTAACCGTCTCATGCAATTGTGTGTATCGCGTGCAACCAGGCTCTTGTGTGCGTGTGGGCGCGGCCTTGTGTATCTCTGTCTGTGTGTGTGTGTGTGTGTTGAATGTTCGGCGGTGCATGCTGCGTGTTCCGCGATCTGCGATGCGTTTTTCGGTCTAGGTCAAAACCCCGTACCCCTGGTGAGCATCAACATAGGTGTCAAATGGATGTTCATCCACCCCAAAATGGCTCAAAAACAGTGTTTGGAAAGAAGGTGAATTTTGCGGAAAGGACAGAAGGTCAATTTTGCGGAAAGGAAAGAAGGTCAATTTTGCGGAAAGGTAACCTTGCTCATCTGAGACTCTAAGATTGTTGGATTGTTCCGCCTTTCTCCGAATGATTCCGGCTTTGTTCCGGGTTTTGTCCCCTTTGGCCATCCAACAGGCACTCTACGCACTCCAAACATGTTGATTACTGGAAAATGAGTTTTGTTCTCGAAAAGACGGACAAACACCACATACAACACAAACGGCTGCAGAGTACAGCTTTTTGGTGGCAAAGGGAAACCAAATGGAAAACCCCCATGAGGGGTTCCCTTTTCTGGCTGCTGCCTGAAACCTGTCATGTCCTTGTTTGCTCGTTGTCTTGCGGAAAAATATATAACCCTCTAGGGGTAGCTTCCCCATTCTTTTCAGGGATCCTTCTTTCTAAAACAACAACAAAAACCCTGGGGAAATGGCTGGTTTTTGAAAAGAACGATGGCTTAAAAGAATGGGGAATCAACCCCTAGAACCCCCAGCTCATGTGCTCGTCCCCCAGAAACCAGCCAGCTAAAGGAGAGCCGCCCACCATGGAGAATTTGGGCATCCTTCCATTTGCTTCCTCCCCCTGGAAAAAAACTGAAACGAATATGTCCAGTAGTGATAGATTAAAAAAACAAAACAA